CCTCTTCATAAGCAAAAATATGATATTGGTAATCAACACATATAGGCTACCAGTTTTCAATTCTCATATATCCAGGAGGGCCTGGTCAGTGACTAGTTTGCTGGTACTTTCATAATTAAATCAGTATTGAACCAATCTCTCAGCATGATGTTAGGGAGCATTGTATGTCTGGACATGCGAGCTTTTTGTAAGGTAAAAAGATTGAAGTCCTAACATTCTATCTTGTGTAGGTTGAACTCCCACTGTCTTTTTTTTTTTTCTTTTACTAAGGTAGAGTTATTAGCTAGGTGGCCTGGACAAAATCCAAAAAAAAGTTTCTTCTACCAAAACTCCAGTTCTGAATTTCAAAAAACTGTATTCTTTACTTCCAGTTGTGAACTACAGTGCATAGTTTCCAGAGGTGTCTGCATTTTAGTCATGAATACATGGATTTTTATGTGTATCACTAGATATATAATCTAGTCAGCAAAGTTATACCTTTTCAAGATTTTTGTTATAAGGTGTGAAATAATTGCTATGTTGATCTTTGATTTGAAAGATGGTATGTGGACTGTAGCACAGGATCAGTTTGAAGAGATTCTGTATGTACTATTCCATTTGAATTGTACAAATAGAATTTATCCACACTCCAGCTTGTGCAAAACATTATAGGAGTAAGTGTTTCCAAACTTGGAGGGACTCTTGGAAGATGTATGTGTTGCTAGTCCCTGGGCATATGCATGTGTCCTGTTGCTAATGTTTCATGTATCTTGCGCAGAAGCTAAGTCAAGGCAACAAGTCTGACAGTGGTCAGAGTATTAGCTGCCAATAAAAAGGTTTTTCAGGCAGAGAAGGGGACTGTAATTCAGGAGATTTGGCAGAGTGTTACTTTCCACTAGCTGGGATGTACCTCCTGGTATGGAAGACATGGCTGGAAAAAACTCTAAGAGAGAGTAGAATTTGGCAAGTAAAGGTAGAGGTATGAGAAGAGGGCTGTGTGTGGCTTGGCACTGAGTTGCAATGTTTGGTTAGTAAGCCAGTCCCCAGAAAGGGTGCAAGGTAAGTCTTCATGCCCTTACTGGAGAGTGCATGTGGGCACAGTTAGGGCGGCTAGGAACTGGAACCAACTTCCAAGGGAAGTGGTGCTGGCTCCTACCCTGGGGATCTTTAAGAAGAGGCTTGCTGCCTACCTGGCTGGACTCATTTGAGTCCAGTTTTTCTCCCGCCCAAGCGGGGGATTAGACCTGAAGATCTACAAGGTCCCTTCTGACCCTACTTCTATGTTTCTATGAAAGGAGTAAACATTTTAGGCCTTGAGCCACACAGTGCTGTGTTGCAAGGGCTAGAGGTGATAGTTTGCATTTTCCTGAAGAGGGGACTCAACAGCATCAGAATGCCTGAGAGATGCTGCCATGCACCAAAGGTGGATACACAGTTTGTCCCTCTGTCCTTCACCTTTTTGCTCAGTTATTCACTTTATGCAAATGAAGGTCAGGATTGAACCAAGAGTGCCGAGTGAAATCCGATTATAAAGAGAATTATTACCTTCTCAGGCAGTAAACATTTCAGCTGTGATTGGCAAACAATCATTAAAAGCCTTTATTAAATTTTGCATCTATTCCATTCACCACTTAGCCATTTCTGTTCATTCTAAAGGATTATCACGAACAATAAATGAGTCTTCTCTTATATGGTAAGGACACAATAAATCTATCAAGAAACTGAATAAGCCTCCCTCTGCCCACACAGATTTTTTCCCTCATTTGTTAAAAAGAATATTGCTTTCTTCTATCCCATGAGATCAGGCTTTAAGCCTGTGAATGATGATGTCCAACTTCAAGCAGCTTGTTTATAACAATCCCCCACAACAACTGGACAGTGTTTAATACCCTTTTCAGCTAATGCCCGTATCCTCCACCCACAAGCTAATCTTTCTGCAGTGGGAGGATATCATGGGTATGTTCATAATAAGCAGACCAACAAGTACAGAGAAATTAATTCAGTTCTCTCCAGAAGAAGGTAGCTTCTAGTCTTTTCTGGTATGGAATTTTTAGCTGCATATGTACACCAATTTATCATCTCCAGCTTAGGTTGTGGTCACACGCTGCACCTGGAGAAGTTAGAAAAAAACATATTTTACTTCTCGACCAAAATGCTACTCCCTGCCTGCCTTCTCCACTGTTTAGGACTCCACACATGCAAATAGATGGTTCTCATTCTTCCCCTGCTTTCTGGTCCATTTCCACTGACAATTTAAGTTCTCATCCTAGCCTTCAAAGGTCCCAGTTACACAAGCAACTACATCTCCATCTATGTAGTACCAAGACAACTACATTCTGGGACAAACAACAGATGCCAAAACAAAATCTGTGAGAACTAGGGGTAAAACAATCCTACCTGTTGGGATTAGAGAAATCCAGAGTCTGACAGACTGTAAGGAAAACTGCAAAGTCTTCCTATTCAGCTAAGGCTTTTCCATCATAACCAGAATAATGTTTACAACAACAATACCTATCTTTCTTTCTCACTACCCACAACATATCCTACAGTGCTCAGCTTTTTACAGCCAAAGAGGGAGAAGAGACAACCAGTTTTATTTGTGTTGAAGAGCTGTCAGTTATGGTGCATCTACATTTCCTACAGTACAAAGCATAACAAATCTGGATGTGTTTTTTCAGCAAAACTTACTTGCCAAAAATGCGGCTTTGCGTGTCCAAAATTGTTATAGCTGCAGGTTGATTGGGAGCTGAATTTTGAGATTTGGCTGAAACAGAATTAGAACCAAAATTCAGAAATGCAAAAACCATTCCTTCCAGCAGTTCACCAAAATACTTTAAATTATTCTGGCTAGACTGACCCTGGATTTGAGTGCCCTTCACAAAATGGGCAACAAGGACAACAGCAAGGTGATAGAGACGCTGGTGGTGTACATATATATGTCCTCATGTTGAGAACACTTACCCAGGTTATAGGAGGCCCAGGTTCAAATTTCCATTTTATCTGATCCTAGGTCTTAAGCTTCAGTCCCCTCCCTCTGAGGAGAGTTCTATCCTTGGGAATCAGTTGTCTGGAGGTGGATCTCTTGCATTGCTACTTCTCTACTTTGTATAATATGCATAAACAATGATGAGTCTCAAAAAGAGAGAGACTGACCAGAGCCTGGCATTTAGGGTGTCACCTGAGAAGAGATACCCAATCTGTAGTCCAGGGGCAATAATTTTGGCCGCAGGGCCGCTTAACGAGTTTTGGTGAGCTGTTGAGGGCCACACACACAAAATCTTTCAGAAGATATCATTTTAACAAATTATAGATTACATATAGTCATATACTAAAAATCAAACATCTACTGTAACATATTTTAATTTTATTTTTAAAAAGTCCTGATTTGTTTTTTTTTGAGTAGTGTATATAGAGGTAATTGCATAACAGCTCAAAATAAAGTCTTGTTCTTGTATATTGCGTGGGGGGGGTGGGAGTGGGTATGTGGAGGGGTGTGGGGTGGGCATGTGTGGGGGTGGCAGGGTGTAGGGTGTATGGGAGAGTGTGGATATACATGTGTGCAGGAGGCTGCCTGCACACCAGGTCCTGGGAGCTGGCCAGAGGTGGGGAGAACAAGTGGGGAGACATGGGGCACATGCAGCACAGCTTGCCCAGGCAGCATGGTGCAGATGTGGCCCACCCTTGCCATCTGGCCATGGCTATCCACTCAGTGGTCCACATGGAGCCAAACTGCGTTCGCTCCTGCCTGGGCCAGCCCGCACTGCACTCTCACCTGCCCTGGCCCTGGCACCATGCATAGTTTCCGGGCAGGGTTGTTCCCAGTGCAGCTGCAGCCACCCCGGTACTGGTCAGCTCCCCACACCTGCAGCAGCTCCTCCTCCTCCTGTCCCTGCTGCACCACTCTGGGCAACAGGTAGTGTGGGGAAGCCATGGGGATGTGTGCCACACATCAGATACCCAGCCAGGGGGCTCCTGCCCCAGCACACAGGGCTCCAGCTCCCAGCTGCCTTCCACCTACTTCCCCCTCCAGCATGATGACCAGCCACCTGCAGCACCAGACAGTGCCTGAAACTCAGAATTTCCTTTGCCCTGAAATATTTTTATTATGAAAAATCATTTTAAACTGCCTGATATTTAAAAAAAAAATCTTTGGAGTGGCTGATGTTAAGGCAAAAATCAATTCTTCCCACAGCTGCAACAAGAGGCAACTGCAGCCCTTAGCAAAGGTTGTGATGGTCTGTAAAGATCAAAAAGATTTGTTTTGTAAGTAGACCCAGTACTACATGTAGCGTGACTTAACGCAGTGAATTCAGATTGACTCCAAAAACAGCTTGTGTTTGTTCTGTACTGATTCCAAGAAATGTGTTTGAAACAAATGTATCCTGGATTTGAGATGAGGCTCAGTCAACAGCTTGCAGTTGCGGGCTTTGGGGAAGATCTTGTAAAGTGTGCAGAACCCTAAAAGAACCCAATCGTGCAAAGTACTGATCATGTCATGCAAGGCTATAAGCACCTTCAAGTCCTCTCTAATAAACCTCAAGGAAGCATTAGTATAGCTAAATACACTTGAGTGTGTTCTAACAAACTACTTCCTGCCCTTGCAGTGACAAGGCACCAATAGTGTCGTCAGGCTCCTGCTTTACCTGTGGCAAGTTAAATGGTGTTTTTAATGTTACAAGCATTATGCCCGCTAGTCATGTGTAAGTGTCATTCCCAAAGGCTTTGCGAACAAGTTAGACAAACACTTGTCTTAGGATGGTTTAAACAGGAATGATCCTGCCTAAAGCAGAGGTTTGAACTAGATGACTTCCTGAGGTACCTTCCCGCCCTACTTTTTTCTATGATTCTATGAAATAACCCAAACCATGGTACTAGCTTGACTGGTAGAATTAAATAATCATGACAGCATGATCAGATCCACAAATAAGATGCTTGGTACCCTAGAGGAACAAAGTTTTGTCACTAGCAGAATGATTTGGATGAAGGTATAACTTACCAATGACTTGTTTCTTTTACTTTAGCTGGATACTGAGAAGACAAAATTGAAGTCAGAGAGATGGGCTTCCAGAGAAGCTGGCAGTGGGGATGGAAAAAGTGAGGAGGTGGAATCAAGTGGGGACTGTGATGATGAGGATGGCTGTCAAGGATCTGGTGATAGGACTCACATAACAGGTAAGTGCAATTTATGGACCTACACAAATACACAGACTTTTAGAAATTCATCAGAGCATTAGTGGACAAGGCTTAAGAATTGTTTGTTGCACATTCAAGCAGTCTTTATCTAGGACAGTTTGCAATCCCATACATGGCCAGTAATCCAATAGAACAGGGATAGACAACTCCTGGCACACATGCCAATTAGTGGCACGCAGACACATTTTCCTCGGCACACCAGGTGCCGTGCAAAGAAATTGTTTTGGTTTTTTTTTAAATTTAAGTTGCTGCTCTGGGCTCTCTGAAGTAGCTACAGGTCCCAGCACTGTGGCAGGCATTGGGGGTTGAGTCAGGAGAACACAGGCAGGAACGCTATCTGCATTCTGCTGACCCTGCCCCCTGTCCCTGGGCTGTGCCCTCTAGCCTAGCCTAGCCCTGGAGAGGAGTTGCGGGTGGGCAAGGCTAGGGCCCAGGGAGGTGTTGCAGATGGTTGATGTGCTGGAGGCTCCCAGCCTTCTCAGGCCTGACCACTGCCTGTGGTGGCTGTTCCTGGGGCCCTGGGGCCTCCTGTGGCCAGGACCTATGGCCGGGTCCTTGCACCAGGGGCAACTCTGCCCCACTCGTGCTGTGCCTGGCACGCAGGGAAGCCAGACTTGGAGCTGGGAGCCCCCTGAGCCCAGTGTCCCAACCCAGCCAGGCAGTGTCCCCTTGTGGGCAGGGCAGCTGCAACCCATCCCTGTGGAGCTATGTGGGCTGGGCTGGGCCCCATGTCTGGTGCCACTGGGCTCCACCACCAACCCACTATGGCCTGAGTTTGCAGAGCCTCAGGGCAGCTCCCACTTCCCACCCAGCACCCACTCTCCTCCAGCTGCTGTCTTCCCAATGGCTCGGCTAAGCCGGCCTGCCCCTTCTGCCCTCCCCCCCCGGACCTTACCCCAAGCCTCCGACCCCAGCACTCAGCACCCCGTTGCTGCCCCTACTCGGGTGGGCATCTGTCTGCGTGAGCCCCAGCTAGGCCCGGGCTCCATCTGCTTTGGGACCGTAGGGAAGGCCTGAGCATCTCGACCCTGGTGGATGCTGCTGGGGTGCTGCTGCCTCCATCCACCAGATGCTGCCTTGGAGCAGTGGGCCTGAGTTACAGCCGGTAGCTATGGGAGACGTAGGTGGCAAGGGACGCACCCTTTTTCTCTTTTTCCCTTTTTTCTCTCGTCTCTTTCTCTCTCACTTTTTATCTCTTTCTTCCTTTTTTCTTCTTTTTCTTCTCTCCTCTTTTTCCTCTCCTTTTTTCTATCTCTTTCCTCTTTTTTCTTTTCCTTCTTTTTTCTCTCTCCCCTCTTTTTTCTTTTCTTTTTTCTCACCGTTTTCTTTTTTCTTTCTTTACCTCACTCTCTCTTTCTTTTTCCCTCTCTTCTCTCCATTTTTCTTTTTTCTCTCTTCTTTCCTTTTCTCTCTCTCTCCACCTTTTTTCTCTTTTCTTTCTCCTCTTTCTCTTTTTTCTTTGTCTGTCCCTCTCTCTTCTCTCTCCTCTTTCTCTTCTTTCTCTCTCTCTTTTTTCTCTCTCTCATGACAATGTGTTGCTTTATGTGTTGCTCAAAAAAAGACTACACAAGGACAAAGGTAGTATATGAAGTTTTTTTTATTGATACCAGGTTTAGAATTTTTATACAACCTAGTATTTACTGTTAAAAAAGGATTATTATTAATTGTACTAATATTCAGTGTGTCCTGTCATGTACCCCCCTGCCTGGTTTTGTTTTTCCGGTGTGCCAGCACTCTGGCACTTTACAAGGTAGACATTGCAGTTTTTTTGGCACTCCAGCCAAAAATGTTGCCTGCCCCTGCAATGGAAAGTAGCACCTGGCAGTCAGATTAAAGAGTCACCGTTAGACTAAGTAATATCTATAAAGAAATCACCATCCTAGTGGAGGAAGTGATTGCAGAGTGTCTTCAAGCAAATAGAAAATCAATATTGTCCCAGCTGGCATTAAAGTACAAGTATTTATTGGTTGCATTGATGCTTTGAATGATGCACCAAACAGTTTGCTTCCAAAAATATAATTTCTTGAAAGAGGAATAGAGTATTATTTTTTTGGTGAGCAGATGTTGGTGATAACAGTTGAATAAAGATGGACCCAGTATAAAGTTAAATCTTAGATTTACACCACAGTGTATTGGAAAAAACCCTGGCCCAATGGCACATGAAGTGTAATCTTAGTATCAGGACCCCACCTACTATTCATTAAAACACCACTAAATGTAACAAGCAATGATGAGATCATGCTTGCTATATTCCCAGTGGCTAACTTTACATTGGCATATGGCACTTGGATAAGACAGTTCTTATCGGCCAAACCAAATCAAATTGTATAAACTATTGATTTATGCACATGTGTGTTCATTCTGTGCTAATATACGTGTATCTGTATTTTTTTATACATGCATGGGCAAAAAACCCCCCATGCCTATAGAACCGGTAGGCATTTGTGACTGCATGTGTTTATACAAGAAATTACATATTGAAATTAAGAAGGTTTCCAATGCAATTATGTACTTTCTGAAATACTAACTAATGCATCACCTGGCATGATATTCTTTGCCTCTTACATCTCCCATATTTTTTAGGGATGAGTGAACACTTTGGGAAATGTATTGTAAATATACATTCACATTTGCAAACAAGTTTTGATTGAGCTGTGTTCATAAGCCTTTATCTGTTTTCACTTTGGGCATGTATTTGGAAAAAAATGAATCTATTTAAAAGAGAATTTGCATTTTTATGAAAAAATATTTCATATTGCAGATTGAGTTATAAATAGTTGAAATTTGCCTTGTGTTGGTGAGCCACATAAAGAAGAAACAAAAAGCATGCAACTAGTCAAAACAAGATGACCTTCAAAATTGAAATATCACATATTTGTAATAAATGTTATGTGAGCCATTCAGAAGCAGGGTAACTTTTTATAGTCATGAAAAATTTTGAAACGTAAATAAAGTAGAGACATGCTCCATCTGCTCTCAAACATTCTCCAAATAGAAACTGGAAAACTTAGATTAATACAATGTCATTGAAATTATTTAATTATTTATTTTATTGTTCATTTTTTTTGCATGCGACTCTTGAATAAACTTCTAAATGCTTGAGTCTCAGGTAATTATAGTGGTAAATGGATTAAGTAATATTTTCACATGATATGATATAAATAATAGCCAGGTGCTAGCTATTTTTCAATGGACAGTTGCATTATTTATATACAGTTAAATTATTTATGCTTTTCTGTTTCAGTCATTAAAAAATTACAGCTTTAAATACAGTGTTTATAGCTAACATTAGTAGTGGTAAATAACGAAGCTACATAATGTGTCTTCCTTTCTAGTTTGGAGTCTGCTCAAATAAAATATTTTATGTTGATATTGCCCTGGATTAAAAAGAATTACATTTGCATAACTAGCTGTTTCAATGATTTGGTAGGGATTATATCCAATAAAAATGTAATTACAATTAATTTTACCATACACTTTTGATTCATAAGAGTGAATAGATATTGCATCTTGTGACAATTACAATAGTATTTCATAATTAACTTTAACTTATTATACTGTATGCAGGCTACTATCCATAAATCTGGTTTGCATATCTAGGTGCAATTAAGAGATAAAATTGGAGTTATCTTATTGCAGAACTCCTTTTCTTAGTAAAATAAAAAACATCAATTTTGTTTAATTTCCTCTTGGTATGCATCTGCAAATATGGTGTTTTTAATTGCATAGCACAGAAAATAGTTGCATTTCCAAACTTGAGACCAACCAAGAGTATAATGAGTATTGCTTTGTGGAAATGAAATGCAAGAAATCAAGCTCACTTGAGGTACATAGTGGAATGAGACTTTCTGAAATGAATAGATAAGTACTTAATCACAGCCTTATCCAAAAATCAATGAAAATCTATCCATTGACTGCAATGGCTTTTGGTGAAACCCAAAATGATAATCCTAAAATGTCAGCATTGCTATGGCATATGATGAAATGTGTAATGAAGTTTTCATAAGGTAGACTAGTTTGGCAGAGCAATGATAATTAAAACAGCAGTATTGTGTGGAGGAGTCTCCCTAAAGAGGATATGTTTAAATATCTGATTCTCTAATGCTAAAATCAGAATCCAGAAAAGCTGTACTAAATTATTTATTTATGTATGAAAATAACCTATGTATTAAGTATGATTTACTGTCTAGCTTTATACATTACAGAGCATAGTGGCTGTTAGTACAGATTCTAGCAAACCTTTTTGGTAAGGCTATTGGACAGTCTTTCTCTGCCTTTTTTCTTGACTGATAAACCTCAAAAGCACCAGGAGTTTTACCATCGTTTGGATTACCTGGTTTAAAATCTTCCACTTGAGCACTATTAAAAGACTCTTTAGCATTATTATTTCACTGTTGTCCCAGTTGTTTCTGTACTAAACCAATGGAGGATTGGACCTGATGTGTAAATTTTTCATTTTGGTTTACATTGGCCATGTGTGGCCAGTGCTGTATATGTGCTTCTATACTGCAAGTAGACCCACTGGTACGCATGCATCTCTCTCCAAGTTTTTGGCCATAGCCATTTTCAGCCAGTAGTTGTTTTATACTTTAGAAACCTTGATATTTCCACTTTCCAGCCATCAAGAATCTTTTCTGGATGTCAGGTAAACGAATCAGTTTCTTAACATCTTCAATTAGGAGTTGCAACTTCATAATCTTCAGTGCTGCTATGCTGTTTGCTTCAGTTCCATGTCTTTTATAACCAAATCCATTATCATCTCTAATGACAACCACTTAGGCATTTACATGCAATATAGTTAACTATATGTACCATCCCACCTGGGTTTCCTTAAATGATTTTGTTACAGTCAAGATAAACAAATTCTCAGGAAACTGGCAGTTGTCTAAGAATTATGTATGGTAGAAGATATAAAAAAAGTTAACTTACCAACTGTGATCAACAAGGATCCTAGCTTTCCATGCTAAAAACACCCAAAA